ATAAAAACCATATGATTATCTCAATAGATGCAGAAAAAGCCTTTGACAAAATTCAACATCCATTTATGATTAAAACTCTCTAGAAAGCAGGAATAGAAGGAACATACCTCAACATAATAAAAGCTATATATGACAAACCCAGAGCAAGCATCACCCTCAATGGTGAAAAATTATAAGCATTTCCCCTGAATGACAGTTCTTGTTGCTGTACATTGTCGCAAGCTTTTGATGATGGCTGTGATTTGGATTTCACCCAGTCCAATATGTGTTTTCGCTGTTGTTTGGTTGCTAGGTCATGTCCAGCTCTTTGCAACTCCATGGGCTGCAGCGTGCCAGACTTCCCTGTGCCTTACTATCTCCTGGAGTTTGGCCAAACTCATGTTCATTGAGTTGATGATGCTATCTAATGATCTCATCCTCTGTTGCCCCCTTCTTCTCCTGCCTTCAAAATTTCCTAGCATTAAGTTATTTTCCAATAAGTTGGCTCTTTGCATCAGGTGGCCAAAGTATTGGAGCTTGAACTTCAGACTCAGTCTTTCCAATGAGTAATCAGGGTTGTTTTCCTTTATGATTAACTCCAAGGTTTGATCTCCTTGCAGCCCAAAGGATTCTGAAGAGTCTTCTCCAGGACTAGAATTTGAAGGTATCAATTCTTCAACACTTGTCCTTCTTTATGGTCCAGCTCTCATATCTGTACGTGACTACTGGAAAAACCATAGCTTTGGCTATACAGATTTCTGTTGGCAAAGTGAAATTGCTGATTTTTAGTACACTGTCTAAGTTTATCATAGCTTTCTTTCCAAGGACCAAGTGTCTTTTAATTTCATGGCTGCAATCACCACCCACAGTTATTTTGGAGTGAAAGAAAATAAAATCTGTCACTGCTACTTTTCTCTCTTCTATTTGCCAGCAAGAGATGGGACCAGATGCCATGATCTTAGTGTTTTGAATGTTGAGTTTTAAGCCAGCTTTTCACTCTCCTCTTTTACCCTCATCAGGAATCTCTTTAATTCCTCTTCAGTTTTTGCCATTGGTGATATCATCTGCATATCTGAGGTCATTTATATTTCTCCCAGCAATCTTGATTCTAATTTGTGTTTTATCCCGTCTAGCATTTTGCATGAGGTACTCTGCATACACGTTAAATAAGCAGGGTGACAATATACAGCCTTGAGGTACTCTTTTCCCAATGTTGAACCAGTCCATTTTTCTATGTCCGGTTCTATTTGTTGCTTTTTGACCTGAATGCTGCTTTCTCATGAGACAGGTTAGATGGTCTGGTATTCCCATCTCTTTAAGAATTTTCCACGGTTTGTTGTTGTCCACTCAGTCAAAGACTTTTGTGTAGTCAGTGAAGCAGAAGTAGGTATTCTTCTGGACTTCCCTTGCTTTCTTTATGATCCAGCAAATGTTGACCATTCAATCTGTGGTTCCTCTGCCTTTCATAAATCCAGTTTGTACATCTGGAAGTTCTTGGTTCACATACTGCTGAAGCTTAGCTTGAAGGATTTTGATCATTACATAGCTATAATGTGAAATGAGTGTAATTGTACATTAGTTTGAACATTCTTTAGCATTGCCCTTCTTTGCAGTTGGAATGAAAACTGACCTTTTCCAGTAGTCCTGTGGCCACTGGTAGGTTTTCCAGATTTGCTGATATACTGAATGCAGCACTTTAACAGCATCATTTTTCAGGATGTGAGATAGCTCAGCTGTAATTCCATTGCTTCTTCTAGGATTGTTCGTAGTAATGCTTCCTGAGGCCACTTGATTTCACACTCCAAGATATGTGGCTCTGAGTGAGTGACCACGCCATCGTGGTTATCTGGGTCATTAAGACCTTTGTTGTATAGTTCTTCTGTGTATTCTTGTCACATCGTCTTAATGTCTTCTGCTTCTGTTAGTTACTTACCGTTTCTGTTGTTTATTATGCCCATCCTTATATGAAATGTTCCTTTGTGTAAAATGGTATATGTTTGCTGTTGTAATTTGCTTTTTCCTGATGGCATTTGATTTGGAACATATTTCCATATGCTTATTTGCTGTCTATACATCACCTTTCATGAGGGATGTGTTCACGTCTTTTGCCTACTTCTTGAAAGTG